TGTTGTCAATAGTCTGTTTGTTAATCACTTCAGGAAGAAAGATGTGGCCTTGGAGTCTGAGAAATTGTTGAAACTGTTTCAACAGGTTGGTGCACCCGCGCACAACGCCCTAATCGTGTGAGAATATTAGAAAATGTGTCTGATAGATCGGCGTCTAACTTTTTTTCCTGGTGTGCCGTACATCGTTATATTAGTAATAAAAAAAATGCTACTCCATACAGTATGTATTTTTTTACGGACAATATAAAAAAAGTTTATTATTTCTCCGTAACGAAACGTTGTATTGAAACTCGCTCAATGCTATCTTGTAAAGCTCAAGAAGAGGTTACCATTTTTCTATATCTTATCAAATAACATCACACAAAAATTTGGCAAATTTCGGTTTTGTGACCTATCTTCGGTTTTCTTTAAAGCATGATAATAACTCTTTTAATTACGCATCTTTTCTCTACTTTGAGCATCGTCGTATCTTCTATAGTTTCGGAGATCTCCATAAAAGACATCCTTGAATTTTGGAGATTTTTAGGGGTGCGAATTGTTGCCTACAGGGCGATCCAGGTATATGCTTGATAATTTCAAAATTTGAGTAAGTTTAGATTTGTAAGGACGTTCAATTAAAGTTTTGCGATCGTTTTTCTGCATTAGAATTCTACAGTGTGTTGAACTTTTAATAGCTTTAGGAAGTGTGTGAGACAAGATGTCGGGATAACGAGATACATCGTTATTTTAATTGAGTTTATCTGCTCCAAACCGCAGAATAGGAATTAGGTCCGCTCTGTGTTGTAGGAAAGGCAACATTGCAAATTTAACCATACGTGAGAAATTGATTTATTACCTTAGCTCTCAGTTACTTCGTGGGGCAAGAACAACGCTAACGAATCAATGATTAAAGATGGCAGTTTTCATTAATAAGAAGCCATTTTGTAGGTGGTAATTACTTAAAAAGAAATAGGTAGAGATTATTCCGGGGAAATTTTGATTCATTCGGATTTGGGCTACGGGAGAGTGAACCGTAGTGCTCAAAAGATGATTTTTTCGAGTTTTAGAAATTCTGTCCAATCGTTCACTTTCCCTGTTAATTTAGGCAGTTACTTCATTCCCTTCTATACAGGGTGTTTGTAAAACATGCGGCAAAAATTAAAGAGGTTATTATTAAAAATATTTTGATGACTTTTGAAAGCGCTTTTGTTTTTGAAAGTATCCGGGAGACGATGAGGAGA